GAGCGTGTCGCCCGTCAGGCTGGTGAGGATGCTGCCGACGGTGTGGAGCAGACTGACCGCGGCGCCGGACAACTGGAGCCCGGCCCGCTCCGTCGCTTCGCCGGCAATTTCGGCCTCCAAAGTGTTCACGGCTGTCTGCAGGAGGATCTTCAGCAGCTGAGGGTTCACCGGACTGCTGCCCGGCGGAGTTCTAGACACGCCTCGGCCGTCTGGGGCGGGACGCATCAGCACCTCGGCACGATCCAAACTATCCAGTTTCGCGACGCCCGTCATCGTCAGGTCCAGTGGCGTGGGCTGTCGCTCCGGTGACACTTCGCATTCCAACTTGGACGCCTTGCCAGCCAGCAACCTTGTCGCCACGGCGACCAAGGAGCTGGGCAGTAGGGAGTCCAGGCCGGAGTAGGCTTGAAGGCCGGAGATGCTGGTGACGGGAGCCGGGTTTTCGCATTTCCCCTGGCACTGATTGACTCGGTCGTCAGAGCCGTTTCGTCCGTCCTCATTCTTCAGGCCAGACGCAATCGTGAAATGAGAGTGCATAGAATGCTGATGCTGAGGTAGATGGTGCTGATGCTGAGGTAGATGGTGCTGATGCTGAGGTAGATGGTGCTGATGCTGATGCTGATGCGGATGTTGAGGCTGATGGTGCTGATGCTGATGCTGGTGCTGATGCTGATGCTGATGGTGCTGCAAAGGGTGGATACAAATGTCGGCCGAGGCGGGAGGGAAGAGGCTGTGTCGCCGCTTGGCCGGGTGGTGGTAAGCGGTAGTGGTGGGTGTGGTGGCCGCCTCGAGGAGGTCGGGCGAGGCGAGTTTGTCCGGCGAGGTGACTTCGTCGACCTCTGACCTCGGCGAAAGCGTGCGCTTTGCGGAGGCCGGCGCGCCGTTGTCCGGCAGCCGGAGCGGGAGGAGGGGATTCGGGCGAGTCATGTGACGGAGGGAGGTGAGGCTGGCCGGCGGCGCAAGCACCGAGTGCCTGGCGACGGTGCGCGCAGCGACAAGGGGCGATCGTGCCAACGGTGCCGACAAGCGTCGACCGGTGACTGTGCCGACTCCGGGCGAGCAGAAGAGACGCGACGGGGCAGCAGGGCCCATGTCGAGGGGGCTGAGGCTGACCAATGGACGAGCTGGATCCTCTTCGTGCCCTCCGGCGTTATCAGACTCCACTTTGAGCCGCGAAGCGGCCTCCTGATCACCCTCGAGCCCACCTTCTGCATCATCCTTGCCCTCGGCCTCGGCCTCGGCCTCCGCTTCACCCTCGACCTCAGCCTCCAGATCGGCGTCGCCTTCAGGCTCCGCCTCATCGTCGTCCTCGTCGCCGGCCGGATCGACGCCGTCGGGCCGCTGGACGTCGGAGTGCTTGTCTTTCCAGTGTTTGTTTAGCGACTTTTTGTGCTTGTAGTTGGAGTGGCACACTCGACAAAGATAGGAGACAGTTCCGTCGGGACGCCTTGTCTACAAAATTCACCAAGCCATGCATACACATTCATATGCATTTTGAATAGATTTCGGGCTTTGACAACCCGAGGTCGCAGAAGCCAATGAGGAATCGGTAGCAGAATTTTCCCACAATCTTATCAGAAGTCCGCAGGTTCCAAATGAATCTCACTCTTTGAAGGCAAGGCTACATGAGAATCGGTGCAAACTTTAGGTCATCTCATATGATTGTGGGAAAATTCAATTACCAATTCTTCATCATCTTACGCGACCTAGAGTGAGCAGATGTAGATTCAGTCAAGTGCTTTAGAGGATCACTTTGAATGAAATCTACACTAATAGGTTAATAAATGTATATTTCGTTTATAATTAGAATTCAGAGACTGTCTGTAGACCTCATACAAGACCTGTATTCACCCAATTTCGTTTAAGGTTATAAAGAACTGATGGTTGCATTTTCCAGCAATGGTATGCGTATACCTCGTGTTTCCATTGAATTTCACACTTACATTTCTTCTTAAAAGATATATTTGCATTCAGGCAGAGGTGTACTGCAATTTCGACCTTACCTGACCTGGCCTCATCCGGACCCTCAGCAGGACTTGAACCCGGATAGGGTTGAAACTGCAGTCCAATCCTGCCTGGATGCGAATGCCTTTTAGGAATAAAGTTCAGTGTGAACTTCAATGGAAGCGTATGGCCTGCTCATAGATCCATCATTCATTCACCACCTTAACCGAAATAGAGTGAATACAGCTATGAAAAACATCAATTGGCCTCATCAAGTTGTGCTTTACTGTATTTGGAACTTCACTGCCTCGAGAACATTTTCAATTACAACCCAGTTGAAATCGCATATTCGAGCCTTCCAAAAGCTAATTTTCTCAGCGGAAGCCAACATAGGATTGCTTTTGAGGTTTGACTCTAGATTTTTACGAATAGGTCCTCGGCGCCCCGTCCTGCAACTCCGATGAATCTGCGCTGAGCTTCGACTCGTCACATGACACACAACGTCAAGGCAAGACGTCATACTCTGTTAAGTATTGCACAGCATAAGACGAAAGACTGGGGTTGGAAGAATTCCTTAGTGATATATTGTGACATGGATCCATTTCGAAGGAAAAATTGGTTTGAAGGAACTAGCGATGTGGTCTCACCGGAAACCGAAAGAGGAGTGCCGAGTAGGGAAGACTGTTGCATTATGCGAGGAAGTCCTCGGCTCACCTTCCTGCGACCCCGATCAACCTGTGCTAAGCTTTCGTCTGTACCGTGACAGGCATCATCAGAACAAGAATCCATACTTTACAAAATGGAGCAGAAATATACTAAACCAAGAGAAAAGGTGGCCGGCTGCAACCCTCGTCGCTTTTTTATACATCTAACGTCGTGATCTTAATGAGTCCTCCAAAGATTTGGTTTGCTACTTCCACCTTACTCTACATGCTTGCAAATGAGTGAAGTGAGCTTCCCGAATCGGAAATTCGTTTGGTGGCGGCTCTTTCATCACACAAAATCCTGCATACGATCGTCGAATGTTAAATCATGTTTGGGCTTGTGCTATTGTCTAATCGGTGTATGTGGTGCTCATGTGATAGGAAGTGTGGTAGCCCTAGATAGACTCGAGGCTAATCCAGCCATCTTCTCTTGTTCAGTGGCCCTTCCTGCACTCTCTCTCCCCTCCTCAAGCCTATCCAGCAGCCACAAATAGTTCCTGCTCAGTTTTCAACATTAGTTCATGCTATTCAAGACGTTGACTATTTTTTTAATGTCTATAGACTCCTTCCAACCAACATTTCCTTCGAAATTGAAAGTCATGCCACAATCGTATCGCATGTTTTTGTGCTCGGACGACGTCCGTGACATGAACGAAAACCCGACACAGATTCTTCAGGGTCAGGGAAAGGGGGTGCATCGCGGGCCTATTCGTATGAATATTTCGGATTCCGAAGAGATCAACTTACGCATCACTTCCACTGGCCTCTTCAAACTAAATAAAAAGTATGCCAACATTTATTTACTTAGGGATTCTTCTAAAACTATATTTTGTTCATATCTACGAGCGAAAATAGATTCTTTAAAATAGAACCAAAGAATTAGCCTTATTGAAGCATAATCGTCTGCTGTGTAGTCATTGAGTTAAACTTTCGGTTCATGGTCAAGGTGAGCATGGGATAACTAAACAATGAAGGAGTGAAGACGTCGAAAATTCAAGGAAAGAATAAGAACTTATTGTGGAAACTTTCATTTCTATTGCATTGTTTAATGAAGGGATTCCTAGATCTATCTGGCCAGTAGAAGATGGTTAATTCCTGTTATTCTGCGACCGTTTAAGCAGTACACCAGACATCCTTCCTCGTTCCGGGCGAAACGGGCCAAGCTTTTTTCCTAAATACGACGCGCATCATTAAAACTACAAGTCATTTTTGAAAAGGCTAATTCCAGAAGATTTTCTCTCTATCCTGCATGTTATATATGTGTACTCAACTAAAAATGAAAATAAATAGCTGTGAATAGATATTGAAAACGATTGCCTTTAACTATAAGTCTACATGGCAAGTAGGATAAAGTCGGATAGTCATCTTGACTTAGAGTTAATTTGAAGCTTATCCAAAAATGAGTTCTAGCTCTGACGATGTCTCTCAATTAGCATAGTGGACGAAAGCTCATCCCGTCTTCAGCCGA